GGACATAATGTAGTCCTAGATGTCGTCTATCCATAGACACTGAGTTTACTCTGATCGGACACCATTTGATCAACCAAAATGGCTTCACCTTTAGACTGGTCGCAAACGAAGACTTCAGCACTACCTCTCGCGAAAATAAACACAACTTTCAGAAACCAACTCGATTCCGCTTCCTGGAAATGATAGACAAACAAGTTAACTACTTACTGAAAAAAATCCAGACTGAAAGCTTTTGTTTAGGATGACCGTTTTGCCTTTACGCTGAGACTGTTCGGAACTGCCTCTGCATCGCAGCAGCTTAAGTTTATTCTTGGACAAGAAGCAACACCAATAAATTTTGCTGTACAACTCCGATCTTGGTTCCGTTTATTGATACAGACTCCTGGAAACGAGATCTATCCAAAGAGCCATAACTCTCAGCCTAGAAACCCCTGGACCATACTAGAAACCTCTCGCAAAACAACTCCTCAGCCATGGGTCTGATGTATCCATCTCTTCTTAGCTTAAGACGTGATGATGTCTCTGCTGCACAAAAGTATCTCTGGTGCCATAGGATACACGTCTGGTGTCTTTAGGTTCACAGGGGTGCAACTCAATGGTGGTTGGTGATGATGAGATATAGTGGCTCATGTTCGCACGTCTTCTTCCCCTCTCGGCTTTGCTCACATCAACCAACATGATATGGAATGGTAATGGATTTGGAGACTCGTCTTCTTTACTTATGGAACTGACATTTGATTTGATCGCAAGACACATCAATGAGAATAGTTAGGCAGAGATGGTAGATCGATGGTGTTTTCTCACTTTTAAACATGACGGCTAAGTTAACATGAGGAAGGAGATGCATACGGGTATATATATATATATATATATATATTGCTTGTTTTGTTTTTAGTTTGGTTTAGTCCAATTAAATAATCAAACCAATTTCTATATCAGTTTAGTAGATACTGGGTCGTTACAGTATCAGTATGAAAGGGCCATGAAAACGTTAAAAGGAAAAGCCAAACACCTTGCAAAAGTTCAAGGTTCTATTGGTGCGAGAAGTTTGACGGAAGAAACATCACATTTCACATCGTACTACTTTGCACCGAAAGTATGTACAAGGAAACGAGCTCCAAGAAGATATGATGATGGTGGTGTCGTGCCGACATATATGGAAAAAGATGTTCCAGACATTTTTTGTCATCTTTTGTCAAATTGGGAGATTGGATGGGAAATTGAAGGAGGTTTGGTGGTCGAGTGATGAAGACGTCCATAGTGCACACATCTATATTCTTCTCAATTGATTCGTTATTTCAATAGGTAAACATATAAACACGTTCATACACATTTATACATTTTCAATTGATTAATTAACATAACATAATTTTACAGCAAATTTGTGACTCAAGTCGAAGAAGCAATCCCAGGTATATCGATAACTGAGTTAAGCACAAAGAAAGATCAACATTTTATCAAGTGGCTGAGGAAACATGTATTATAACTTAATTTTTTATGCATACATCCCTGATAGTAAGTTTAATTTCAAGTAAATGTGATTTTTTTGCCGCATGGTTTCGCGAATTACTTCAAGGTTCAGTTGCAAAGGTCACCACATCATTGATGTATTTCACACGAGGCTATACTTTTCATACCTATGACTATGGTAGACACCGGGCGACAAGTAATTATGGAATATGTGTGAAAGCGAAACAGATTTCTACGGGATCTTGCATGAGATTTATGAAGTTCAATTCCCAGGATTATTGAAGCTGAAATGAGTCATCTTCAAGTGCGAGTGGTTCGACCCCGTTGTCAACAGAGGTGTTCAGATTAACAAATTCGGTGTAGTTGATATCAATGGTGGACGAAGGTACAACAAATTCGAGCCTTTCATATTAGCTTCACAAGCGGGCCAAGTTTGCTTCATTCCATACCCTCGGATAATAACCTCAGGAATAAATTGGTTAGCTGTTATTAAAGTTACACCTCGTGGACGAATAATCGCTACCACCATTGCAAGAGGAACACACCAATGAAATCGAGGAACCTGAAGCACAAATTGATGAAATCCTACTCATCGATCCGCATAATCGTGAATACGAAGATGTCCCGGATCATACAACGGACGAAGCTGTTTAAGACGAGTTCTACGAAGATGATGATATTTCTAGTGATGATGTCGAGAATGGTAATGATGTATCCGAATTATGTTGTATGGCAATGATGTATCTGAGATTTTAATATTAATAATTTTAAGACTTAATTAATTACGAAAATTAAATGGAAGTTTGGAAAGTTGTGATTTGGGGTTTAGGAAGATGTAGAGGTATAATTTATGGAAGTTGGGGTTTAGGTTCTCTGGTTTTGAATTTTAGGGATATACAAACCTTTCCTCGTAAAATCCTAGTAATGTGAAAACACGGGACTTGTTATTTCCTCGTAAAGTCCAAGTAAGCAGTTTTCCTTGTAAAGTCCACGTAAGCAGTTTTCCTCGTAAAGTCCACATAAGCTATTTTCCTCGTAAAATTCATATAAGGCTGTTTCCTCGTAAAGTCCACGTAAGCTTTTTTCTCTTAAAATCCTCGTGAAGTGAAAACACGGGCCTTTTTATTTCCTTATAAAGTCCACGGTAGCTTTTCCTCGTAAAATCCTCGTGAGGTTACACGGGACTCGTTTTTTCCTCGTAATGGAACTAGGATTTTACGAGGAAACCAAAATCCCTATATAAATTAAAGCAATCGTATTTCTCTCATTTGTAGTTAACTCCTCACCATTTTCTCTTAAGGTAATAGTTAGGGAATTTAGATTAGGTGGTTAGTTTAGGGTTTAGGGTTTAGGCAATTTAGATTATGTGGTTAGTTTAAGGAATTTATATTAGGTTGTTTAGTTTTGGGAATTCATATTATGTTTTTTTTAAAATGTTAATTACTTATTTATGTTTTTAAAAATATTTTAATGTTTTAGATGACTAGAGCGCAAAAGCTTAAGGGTAAGCAGCGGCCGCCAGTCGGATCATCTTCTTCAGGTCCTCCTACAAGCGGGACTCATTAAGGGGACATGTTTGGCCGTGAGCCAGGTCCTCATACAGGCGGATCATCTTCTTCAGCCCTCGGTTCTTCGATTCTGGAGAGTGTTCCCGAGTCTAAGTTTGCTGCACCACCCATACATCATCCTCCTCCTCCTCCTCCCCCTCCTCCTCCTCCTCCTGTGGCCGAGGTTCATCCTGATTTGCAGGTGCCGCCAGATGCTCTGTAGGCTATGTACACCGTCGAGGATCTTCTTGCTCAGCCAGTCAGAGAGGGTTTACCGGTCCTAGATCTCGTATGGTATGTTTCATTTTAATTTTTTTTTTCATTTATAACAAACATTAATTAACAAATTTAATACTTTTGATTTCTTTTTTGTCCAGGTTTGGGGTTGACAATTGTGTCACTCGGAGCGTCACCGACTTTATCAAGGGATACTTCCCCGATGCAGCTCCAAACTGGAAATTGACGCTTCTCCACACCACAAAGACGTGGTTCAAAATGTTCGCTGTAAGTAATTAGTAAAAAGTTTTAAATTATTTATAATTTTTAATATTATTAATTATATTTCTAATATTTTTTGGTTACAGCAAAAATGGTGTTGGCCCATAGGAGTGAACGAGCGGGTGAAGCGTGAGTTTGAGCAGAAGGTGAAAGCACGATTGCTGGACATGGTCTCCAACTGGAAGGACGATTATGATTATGAAAAGGGGAAACCCTCTTGCCTTACATATTCGGTGTGGGATGGACTCATCCATTATTGGAACCAGCCAGAGTCGATCAGAACCTCCAACAACTGCTCCGCTAACCGTTTGACCAAGGATGAGTATGGCAACACGAAGATGCTCCATAGTTTAGGTTAAAAACCTCACGCCGGAGTTCGTCTCGATATGGTAATTAAATTTTTTAATAACTAATTTTTTAATAACTAATTTTTAATATATATGTTTTTTAAATAATTTCTTAAAAATATTTTTAGGCTAAAGAGACGGGAGTTCTTCCATATCTCAAGAAGCTTTACGAGCGGACCCACAGGAAAAAGGCTGGACAATTTGTAGATCCTCGGTCTGAGTGGATCTACAACGAGGTTATTTCTCGGGTTGAAGAGCGCCAAACCTAGCTAAAAAGAAACTGTATGTTCATGGCTAAAAATTTGAATTTATATGACGTTTGCTTGATGATGATATTGATACAGGCTTTGGAGGTTATACATATTTGTTAAAGCCACTTAATTTGGTTGGCTGGCTTAGTTACAAGTGAATGTTATTACCTCTTTCTTCCTTTCTTCTATGTGTCTCAATCATTTCTTAATTTTTAATTAGCTACATACAATTACAGTGGTTTTGGAGAAATTGCAAACTTAGCTTACATTTATGCTCTCGCTGTACTCGTAACTCCTCTCGGTGCTTTAAGTATTATCATCAGGTCTCTCATCTAATCATTTTTTCTCTGCATTGGATAATATTCGTTGAAAGGTTGTTTTTACCTCTTTGTATTCTTTTCGTTTTCTCACGCTAATATCCTATATATATTTCTTATTCGGATTGTATTCCTCCATCAAAGAGTTGTTGTATCTTCTCTATAGTCTACTGCTATGTCGTTATCTGGCGAGCATTGAATAATATTCGTTGAAAGGTTGTTTTTTACCTCTTTGTATTCTTTTCGCTTTCTCACGCTAATATCCTATATATATTTCTTAGTCGGATTGTATTCCTCCATCAAAGAGTTGTTGTATCTTCTCTATAGTCTACTGTTATGTCGTTATCTGGTGATCACAATCTTGAAATCAAGTAACAAAGCGGCGATCTCCTACTCTGGTCAAAGCAAAATCATTGGCAAAACCAGTGTCTCTTCCGGCATCTCCACCGGGGTTAGGGTCACAGCCGCTGTCTCCTAAGTTCATGTTGTTTCAAAGTTATAGGTCTATTCGTTTTAATGTCTAAAGCAAAGTATGATTTGTTGGATTGTCTGACATTTGGTCTATAACTTATGAGAGGAGCTTATATAGTTGGGTTTGTATGGCAGGCTGAGCTACGACCGAGTGTGTTTGAGGCAACTGAAGAAGAGGATCGATTGATTGAGAACAACGAGGGTCTGCTTTCAGCTTTGTTGGGAAGCTGTAATGATCGTGCTAGGCAGCTTCATGCTCTGCCTCAGGTCTTTGCATATATCTCTTTTCTATGTGGCTTTATTTTATTTTCAAACTATTAGGCTGCTGTGTAATCTTGGCATAATATCTCAATGTTTTTAACTTCTTTGTGATGGTTTGATTAGAACAGCCTTTATAGATTTGCAGTTTGAGTCTGATTTATAACCATGAAAAAGATTTGCTCTGGGAATATAACGATACTTGGAGCGGGTGCAACTCGATAACACGCTCAAAGTGTATCAACCCGAATGCAATTTGGTAATCAAGTAATTGCTTCTCTTATTTTTCTTTGTTTGTATTGTTCAGTTGCGAATATGATCCTAAACCTTACTTTTTACCGATCTGCATTGTGCATGAACACCTATGCACATCAAAAGGACTCTTGGAAATCTGAATTAAACGACTTTAGCAGCAACCATGGCTATGAGCTCAACAGAAATGGAGATAGTGGACCGCTTCTTCTCGATGTTCTTGAAGGATTCTTAAAGTTTGAGGTATCCATTACTCTGTTTTCTTATACATGTAAGGATGATGTTTTACAGTAAAACCTTTTATCATTTTGTCTTGTGTTGTTCTGCTCAGGTTTAGTGATCAATTTTGTTATTTTTTTAACAGAGCCTGACACAGACCATGGGTGGTAACTCAAGGAGCGAGTCAGAAATTGATTCATCATCAAGCCTTGACTCTAGGAATCCTCCTCACTGATCATATGCTTCTCACAACTTACCTCCTTTATGAAGGTACACATATCTCCCCAACACCATGTTATACAAAAATAAAAGATCTTTAAATATTTTCACGTTGCATATCTGAGTCAGTCTTGCTTGGTTGTTTGAAGTTTGATTAATGTGCAGGATAGGTTCTGGATCCAAAGGATCGGGTGAGTCATCAATACCATATTCTCTTGAAATAATATGTTATGTTACTGATGTCTTATACGAAATGATCTAAATATGATTTTTCCAGATAGAAGAGGTGGGACTATTTACAGAAAAGAGGAAATCAATGGAGGCTGACGTATTAGATAGTTGCTGGTTATGAAAATAGGAGATGTAATATTACTACACTTGGTTATAGACCTTTTTCCTTCCTGATCTGGATGGCTGCAGAAGCTGTTTTCCCTTAATGATCTGGATGGCCTCTGAAGCTGCTTATCTCTGTATAAACATACATGCTACTACCTTATTCAATTCAATTTGTAGTAAATAGAGTATATATCCTTTATTATACACTTATTTGTCTTCTTGACTTCCATTTGCTTACGAATACATATATTAGTTTTGAATTGTTTAGTGTTATTGTAACGACCGCAATCTCGGTGACGGAGTTTGTTAGCGTGCTAAAGCCGATATCTGTGTATAAATATCCAGCTTTACCCCATCAGTTTATTTTTTCTGCAAAATCAGAAATTAAAGAGAGAGAGAGAGAGAAATGGAGAAACCCATGTATCTGAGCCATCTCCGGAGCTCGTCCAGACGACCACTCGTCGACACCAGGAAGAGCTCATCACCACCGTCTACCACAGCCAAAGTAACCGGAAACCGCAGTGAGTTTAAAGCTTTGTTTTGTCCGTTCAGTAAATTGTCGATATCTCCCTAACCGTTGAGAATCTTGTGCATGCAATGCCACCATCGTGTTCTACTGGTCGAGACAAAGCCGTACAAACCAACCACGCCTCAATCGGAGCCCTGATGAAGCCACACGCTCCCCCGTAAGATTCACCGTCCGAGCGCGTGCGTTTCACGTGCCGCCGCCGGCCCGCCTCCTCGCCGCCGCCGGACCACCGCAGCTCCGCCGCCGAACCACCAGAGTTCCCCCGCCAGACCACCGTCGCCGCCGGCGACCGTTTCCGGTGACTCGCCGGTGACTCGGCCAACTCGGCCGGGTCAACACAGCGAGTCAACTCGGTTGACTCGGTAAACTGGTGGGTTGACCGGTTCAATTCAATTGCATTTTGGTTAAGGTAAACCGGCGGTTAAAATCAATTAAATTTTGGTTAGGAATAAACCGGATTGCAATCGATTTGGTTTTGGTTCAATTGAAATCGTATCCGGTTAACAAAAACCGGTTGGTCCAATTCGATTTCAATCTGGTCAAGGATTGACCGGGTTGACCTATGACCAGCAGGTTGACTTTTCCGTAGACACCCGTTTTTGACCGTTCGAAGGGCGTTTTGACTCGGAATTTCGATCTGATTCAGATTTCGGATCTATTTAAGTTGCTGGAGATCATAGAAACCATTTTTCTCAATTTCTAAGGTGAGGGTCTACTTCCGAACGTTTCGTATGCGACTTAGAACTTTAAACAAATATAATTTATTCCTAATATGTTCCGTCTCTATGAATTAAGTCTATTTTAGGGTCTGATTGGTGTGTGCTTGTTTAGGTTTAGAATTCATTGCATAAACCAGAATTAGGGTGTCAGATGGTTCAACATTGCTTTCTTCGCTTGATGTAAATTAGTTTGTTTGGCCTGATACAAAGGCGGACTTCTGTATGTCGGATTGTATGTGGGGACTACGGACGGCTTCAGTCGACTGGCCGGGTCGTAGTCTAGTGCGGTCGATAAATCGTCTTTGGGCGGTGTTACTGGGCATTATCCCAGCGTTGTAGTCCCACTAGCGGTTAGCAGGCAGCAAGTGCGCGACTCACTAGGACCATTGTTTGTTTTCTTGGGTCCTTTAGGTACTGTGTTTGTACATATCAGAATTAATTTATATTTATTAGGAGTGCTATGTCCAGGTCTACGGACTTCAGGGTAGCATCTCATACCTCACTGAGTGACTCCCCAGTCGCTCATCCCTCTTTCTTCCCATTTCAGGTGAGACAAGCAATAAGGTGATATTTGGACGGATTTGGTGCTATTGGGCTTTTCGGATTTTTATTTGGGCTTAGGCGAGTGTAGTTGGGCTTTTGGGTTTTTATGTTACGGGATATTATTGGTGGCATGTTTTCCCTAGAGAGAGGGAGACGGGTGGCATATTGTTATTTGTTGACGCGTCGGGGTTGACATGCTGTCCTCCAGGTAGGAGGTGATGGGTGTTACAATTTTTGGTATCAGAGCGGGTTCCATCCTGGTTCTGTCCCGGGATGGCGGTCAGGGGATTCGGTTTTCAAGGTTTTCAAAAAAAAAATATGTGATATATATAATAATAATAATAAAAAGGGTATTTGGAAATTATTTTAGCACCAATCTGTCTAGGACCACTAACTTCAATTGTCTCTTTTATGACGATGAGTAAAATCATCGTCATTCGCCTTTCGGTTAGCAGAGGTCTTCCAGATGTGATGCCGCAGTTTTGTCAGAGTTCACTGAGGTTTATTGGTTTCTTCATTCTTTCTCCTATGTTGTACATGAGTGGATATGTGACTTTTTTGCCATCACCCAATTTCAAGCCATCGGCCACGAGTTTCTGATGTATGATTTTATGTGATGTGAGTTTTTAGCCATGGATTGCCATGTTTTGTTTTTGTGTATGAGTATATTGACTATTTTAGAGATATGCTTTGTTGTAAACTTGTGGAGATCGCTTTTGGAATTAGGGTGCATCATCCTGCGTTATGGTTATATTGGGTTCCATTTGGCATGTTGGCCAGTTTTTGGTTGTGTTTGCCGTTTCAGAGATGTGTCAGTTCGGGAAGTTGGCATAAGATGTAGTGAGCTAATTATGTTCATCGAGATTTTACCAGTTATGTTTGGAGGGCTCGAGATATTCAGAGATCCGTTAGAGATAGAGCTAAATTTTACGGCGCCAGTTTTGAGATGGATTCATTGTCAGGGTATCAAAAGCATTGAGTTGCTGAGGGAAATGGTTTATATTCCTGGAGGAGATGAGATTTTTATTGCTTCCACGTTACATGTTGAGGAGTTATTGGATAGAAAAGCAAAGGGATTTTTGGAAACCGTTTGATGGTTAAGGTTGATGGGCAGCATGAGCTGCTAGTTATTGCAGCGTATAAGGATGTAATTAAGACCTATAGAAGGGTCACCATCGGATAGAGGACACGTTCATACTATTGAGTTGGAAAAAGAGGTAAAATATTTAGCAGACAAGGGTTTGATTAAGGCCGGATTTTTCGCCATGGAGACCACCAATGTTGTTGCGATGAAGGAAGATGATATTCTCAGACTTTGTGTAGGCTACAGAGGTACAAGGTGACATCAAGAGTAAGTATCCGCTTCCGCGTATTGATGAGTTGTTGGAGTAGCTGCAGGGAGGTTTATTGTTTTCGAAGGTTGATTTAGTATCGGGTTATCACCAGATCCCCATAGCGGAGGAGGATGTGTTGAAGAATACTTCCCATACACGTTATGGGCATTATGAGTTTGTAGTAAGAACATTTGTATTGAAGTACGCACCGGCAGTGTTCATGAAGCTGATGATTGTTGTGTTCTGCGAGTATTTGGTTACACGTGTGATCGTTGTCATCGAGGATATCCTAGTTTATTCTTGGAGCGAGAAGAGCACACAGAGCATTTTCCGAATGTATTAGGAAAGTTGAGAGAGCATAGGATATTTGTTACGTTGAGGAAGAATTGTTTCTGGCAGAGGAGGATTAGATTTATGAGACACGTGGTTTCAGAAACAAGATTTGCTATAGATCTGGAAAATATTATCGCAGTCGCAGAGTGATCGACACCTAAGAATACTGCTACAGAGATCCGTAACTTTGGTGAGTTAGCTACAAGGAGGTTCGTCATTTTCAGAGCTTTAGTTGAATCCAGTGTACCATCAGATTAATATAGCTGGAAAATATGTACAGATTACAGTTTCACATATAAGATGGATAATATGAGTTGGAAATAATATTATTGGGTTGAAGAATTCACGGATAGCATTCATGGAACTTATGGATAAACTCTTTTGCTATGGGTTGACATTTCTATGGATTTTATTGATGGATTTCCAAAATCATATGGTAAAACTGTGATCTTTGTGGTGGTAGATCGCCTGAGTAAAGCAGCTCACTTTATCTCTCTTGCTCATCCTTACACGGCTATATATGTGGCACAATATTTCCTTGATAATATGTATAAGTTGCATGGTTTTTCCAGATCAATTGTGAGTGACGGAGATGTTGTCTTCTTGAGTGAATTCTGGCAAGAACTTTTTAAGTTGTAAGGGTGGTCTCTTAATATGTCTACAGCCTATCATCCACAAAGTGATGGACAAATTGAGGTGGTGAACCGTTGTGTTGAGACTTATCTGAGGTGTATGACTGGAGACAAACCGTATATGTGGACCAAATGGTTGCCATTGGCAGAGTACTGGTATAATACAAACTTTCATATGTCTACACAATCTACTCCCTATAAGATCGTGTATGCTCAATCAGCTCATGTGCATCTTCCTTATTTACCGGGGGAATCTAAGGTACATGTTGTTTCGAAATGTTTAGAAGACAGGGAGAAGATGTTGTTGTTGAAGTTTTATTTGATGAGAGCTCAGCATCGAATGAAACAACAAGCTGATCAACACATGAGTGAACAAGTTTTGACATTGGTGTTTATGTGTATGTCAAGTTACAGCCGTATAGGCAACAGTCTTTGGTCAAGAGAGTGAATCAGAAGATCGCACCAAATTACTTTGGCCCTTACAAAGTGTTGGATAAACATGGAAAGGTGGTGTATCGTTTAGATTTTCCTGCAACCTCATAAGTACACTTGGTATTCCATGTATCGCAGTTGAAAAAGGTGGTGGAGTTTGTAGGAACCAGTACGCAGCTTCCTTCTATAATTGATGATGAAATAGAGAAGCAACCGGAGTGTGTGTTGGGATGTAAAATGGTGAAAAGACAGGACCGTGCAGCTATGATGGTCTTAGTTAAGTGGAAGGATCAGTTTGAAGATGAGGCTACATGGGAGTACTGGTATGATCTTCAGCAGAAGTTTTCATCTTTTACCACATAAACCTTGTGGTCAAGGTTTTCAATGGTGGGAAGATTTGATATAGTAGAAGGAAAAAGGACACGTGTTGATTTTATGGAGCTTTTGGGAGGGTTATTTGAATAAAAAGAGAATCCAATAAGAGAAGGACAGCTGGAGAAAGTGTAACAAATGAGTTTAGCAGTCATTGACTTAGTAAATGAAGGAGCGAGTCACAACTGAATTATATAGATTTTTGTCATCTTAATCTTTGTTGTGCGGTTCTCGCAGATAGCCGGTTCCTCTGGAAACTTAGGGTTTTCCCGAAGTTTCCTTATTTACGATTTATTTGACAGTAGGGTGAAATCGACTCCCACAATGAGGTCCTCTGACTTCATCCACCGTGACAATCTCATGACGATCTTCAGTTTAAGCTGCTTGCTTTGGAGCTTGACCTTTAGCACATGGCTCAGGAGCTGTTAAACTCTGATACCATGAAAGTTTATGATGCAGCGCATCTTCTTTGTTCTTCATCATCACTTAAGTTCAAACTTCATGTCCTCTGTTCTTGGAGGGAATTGTAGCTTTCTGTTGTTTTATTTCATTACTTAGGCTTTTGTTTAGTAATTGGAATTTTAAATTCTAGTTCCGATTTGATTTACGTAACTTTAGGAGCAAGCATTTTCTCTTCTTTACATATATTTAAAGAATAAAATTGATGTGAAGAAGATCACGCTTAATAATATTTACATTCAGAACTCTCTAGTTCATCTCTTCTCTTGCTTATCAGTTATTCTTGCTAATCAACGATAATCAAGCTTCAATTTAACATTCGGGTATTCTTCGACTAAACGAATTTCGTCTTGTTAACCTTGTGTTGCGCCAGTTTTGGTTCCAGAGCAAATCTCATTTCCGACATAATTTTTTTTTCATGTCAACAACCGTTTTTCAGATGAATGACTGGTAGGAGCTGTGGTGAACAATCGCCACGATGCAGGAACATATTCAGCAGACAATTCACGATCCGTTGAGGGAGTTAGCTGAATCGGTGTACCTCCTACATGATCTGGATCGCAACGAACCAGGGAGTACGCTCGTGATTGGGATCGAACACAACCTGTGTTTGTTGATGGGTCAACCGACGTGGAAGAAAACCCATTTGCCGAAGAAGATCAATATCGAAAAAACAGGGGGTTCAATAACCACCGAGACCAAGAAGACAGACATTAGAAGATGGGTTTCAAAGTGGAGCTACCGGAGTTTTACGGAGGTGTCCGTGGTGAGGAACTTCTGGATTAGTTGGTGGCAGTCTAGGAGATGCTGGGTTACAAGAGAGTTCAAGAAGAACTTAAGGTGGCTCTCGTAGCAACAAAGTTTCATGGTAAAGCGGCGTCTTGGTGGCTGCAAGTGGAGGCATCTCGAGCTAGAACCGGCAAGAGCGGTATTAATAGATGGGCAAAACTCGAGAAGGTGCTGCGAAAGTCGTTTCTACCATACAACTTTGAGCGAACAATATTCACAAGGCTTTATGACTTATGTCAAGGTTCTCGTTCGGTGGATGACTATTCTGAGTAGTTCACACTATTCCTTATGTGTAATGAGATCTTGGACAATGAAGTGCAATTGGTGTCAAGGTTCATAGGTGGTTAACGACCACAACTCCAGAACGCAATGACTCAGTTTGAGCCACTAACCATGGCATGGGCTCATCATAGAGCTGTTGCTTTTGAACTCCAGTTCAAATCATCAACACAAAATTGGAGTTCTGATGCTCGATATCGATAGACAACAACTAAGACGGATGGGGGCCAATTAGTGTCAAGGTTCATAGGTGGTTTGCAACCACAACTCCAGAACGCTATGTCTCAGTTTGATCCACTAACCGTGGCAGGGTCTCATCATAGAGCTGTTGGTTTTGAACTCCAGTTCAAGTCATCAACACAGAATTGGAGTTCTGATGCCAGATATCGATACACGACAGCTAATACGAATGGGGGCCAACTGATACCTACGATGAAAGAAAGAAATGACACAGTGGCCTTGTAGTACGGCTTCAGCAAAACAAAACAGTCAACAGGAGGAGTTGCGGCATTCTACACGACCAAATTCCTCGAGATGCTTTACTTGTGGGGAGCAGGGGCATGGACAAACGGCGTGCCCAAATGCCACACGGTATGGACTCTTGAAGGAAGGCGTCAAATGGGACGACAAAAAAGGAGACCAACATGAGGACGGAGAGGATACACGAATGGAGGAGCGTACTATAGGAGATCGGGAACCTTGCTAATGTTGTGACATGTTATGCCTAGCTTCAATGAGAGAGAGTGAGAGAGAGAGAGAGAGAGAGAGAGAGAGAGAGAGAGAGATTTAAAACATATTTAGAAACATGAATTGGAGAAAATAAATTAATAAAAAAAACATCTAGTCAAAGAAAGTTACATGTCCTTAACGGCTGCAAGCCTTAAGTCAAACATGTGGTTTTTCTATTTAAAATATTTTAAGTCCTTGCAACTAGTCAACCTCATATCTTCACTTTGGCTTCTAGAACAGAGGTTGGTTGACATTTTTCTATCTTCCTTTCCTTCCAAGTCAAGGTAGGTTAGAGATGAGCGGTTGTACAGATTGTATGACCTAACTTGCCCAGATTGCTTCTTCTTCAGTCAGGCTGTTTAGATCCTTCACTATATGCTTCCCTTTGGTTCTTCATGTGAATAAGGAGGTGGATTTACGAGAGGTGGAACTGAGGACAAATAAGTCGAATAGTCAGTTAAACGACGATGGCGTCACATGTTCAATCATTTGCGTCTCCAATCATAAAATTTAATCCATGGTATTTTTATTCTCTTTTCAACAAAAAGAGTTATTATTGGGCTCACCCCCTAATGTGAACCTCTAGGTTCACCAACCAATGGGATGGTGTTATTTCAGAATTGATATTTTTTTAAAAAATAAATAAAATCATGTTAAGTTATATTGTGTTTTAAAATAAAAAAAAAATAATAATAATAATATTAAAAAAAAAATATTATTTTTAAAAAATAGTTTAACCCTAAAACACTAAACCCTAATCCTAAACCCTAAACTCTTGGGTAAACCATAAACCCTTTGGAAAAATCTTAAACCGTAAATTAAAAAACAAATTAATACTAACCAATTAGTACTGTTTTTTATTTTTTTTTATCTTTTTATTTTTAAACACAATATGATGTAACAATATTTTGTTTTCATTTTTAAAGATATATTAAAATATTTTTTTAATTGTTTTTTTGCAATTATTACTGTTTTTATTTATTTCTATCTTTTGATTTTCAAAAACATAATATAATCTTAAGATATTTTTGTAAAGAATTTTTTTTCCTTTTTTAAAAATATTATTATTTTTATTTGTTTATTTCTATTTTTATTTTAAAAACATAATATAACTTAACAAGATTTTATTTTCTTTTTTAAAAGATATCAAATATGAAATAACACTATCATATTGGTTGGTGAATCTAGAGGTTCAACTCCGGGGGTGAACCCAAAAATAAGTCCAACAAAAAATGTTATTCTTAGGTTCACCATCCAATATAATTGCATTATATCATATTTGATATCTTTTTAAAAAGAAAACAAAATCTTGTTAAGTTATATTATGTTTTTAAAAATAAAAATCCAAAAATAAATAACTAAAACATAATAATTAATAAAAACGAAATTAATTTTTTTTTAAGAAAATATTTTAACACTAAACTCTAAACTCTAATCCTAAACCCTAAATTCCTGGATAAATCATAAACTTTTGGATAACTTTTATAAAAAAATATTTAAAAAAATATTTTAACACTAAAACACCAATGCTAATCATAAACCGTAAACACTAAACCCTTGGGTAAATCATAAACACTAAACCCTAAACTCTAATCCTAAACCCTAAACCCTTGGATAAATCATAAACATTAAATTTTAAAACACTATAAGATTTATCCAAAAATTTATGATTTATCTAGGGGTTTAGGGTTTAGGATTAGAGTTTAGGGTTTATTGTTAAAATATTTTCTTTAAAAAGAATTATTTTCGTTTTTATTAATTATTATTATTTTTATTTATTTTGTATTTTTTTTAAAGAAAAACATAGTATAACTTAATACGATTTTGTTTTCTTTTTAAAAAGATATCAAATATGAAATAATGCAATCTTATTGGAGGTTCACCTTAGGGGGTGAACCCAAGAATAGTTCCAACAAAAATATATAGTGTGTCATAGCACATAATATCATATATATATTTAGTTAGTGCATTATAGTTTTCTTTTTTGTTATACACTCTTATTGCTCTATACTAATTGTCTTTACACTCTTCTACAAGTTTATAAAAATGCTTATGCGCAGCTGCTCACACAGCATGAATAATTCAAAGTTATCACCTTATTTACATGATTTTAAGAAGGCATATTTGACATACACTAGTCTGAATTTTACAAGAGAAGTTTGAGTGGATACACTAATAATAAACAACAATTGACATATTCTATTTCAAAAACTTTGAATATTATAACCACTCCACCCCCAACAAAAACAAACAGTGTGCATACAGTGGCCTAGTAGATATAAAAGATGTGAATGTGAAACAAGTACTCTATATGGATGATATTTTTAGTGCATAAAATGATGGCCCTTCCGTATATTATACATCATCTTCTTGACATAGGATTTTATGATGGTGGATTCTGGGTATAATGGGTAAGATCATCACTAGGAACAAATGAATTCATTGTTTGATCAGTCATACCAGTTGTAGTGCTCGAACTACCATGTCTAGTAGTAGTATCAGTATCCATTAGTTTTGAGATGCTCAAGTTATGTCCATATAAACCATGATCTGGCATAACATGTGTTATTTCGATCTCGCCCTCAAGCATTTGCAATGCCTCTGACATTGTGGGCCTTAATGAAGGCGTTGAATTTGTGCAAAGGAGAGCAACTTTAATCATCCTCACTGCTTCTTCGCTTTTGAAATTACCTTCAAGGATCGGATCAATGACCTCCATTATGTCTCCTCTCTTTTCCAGTGTCAATGCCTATAATTAATGTTAAACAAACAAATATTCAATGTAAAATGTGAATCAACTGCCGCAACAAGACAGAAAATTCCATGGTTACCCAATTGATAAGTGGAACATCATCAACACTTCCTTTTTTGTTTACAATACTCTTCCCACTAACAATCTCCATTACCACGATACCAAAGCTGTACACATCTGCTTTCTCTGTTAATTGACCCCATAGTGCATATTCGGGAGCCATATATCCTCTGCATAATAAAAACCACGACTGAACTATTTTTCTTTGGCCATGTTGTAATTTTTTGTTTTGTAATTTACTCTTACATGGTTCCCGCAATCTTGGTGCTAATGTGACTGTGTTCTTCGTCATGGAGCCTAGCCAATCCAAAATCGGATATCTTTGCATTAAGGTCAGTGTCTAGAAGCACATTAGTGGTTTTTATGTCACGGTGAACCATCCTGATCGTAGATCCGTGGTGGAGGAAATCAAGCCCTCTTGCGATTCCAACACATATTTTTTGTCTCGCTAACCAATTCAATTTATGGGAGCTATTTCCTGGAATAGGAATGTAATCCACAAATAAATGACATCAACATCACATCATTGTCTATATCTACACAATCTACTCTATTAAAGTAGAGTCATTCTTTTTATCTACTGATATAAGTTGTCATTTAAATTTGGACTCTTTCTAAAATGTTACAAATAATACAAGTCATATAGTTAGTTGAACCGCATTAATTAAATTAAACCGATGGTTATTTATGGGATATAGTCTTGAGCTTACTTTTATTTTTAGAACAAATTATATGGTTTGGATTTTGGGATTAGTATTAAGGAAAAACTCTAAAAAACATTGAATAAATTTTCCACCTTAATGGATAAAAAAATCAGTTATTATTTTCAAACCCAAAAGGTATTTAATCTTTTTAAACAAAAAAATTGTCTATTATTAATCGTTTATTTAAATCTTGTATTTTAAAACATGTTAATGTATTTCTTTATTTTAAATAACAATCATTTTGTTTTGATAAATTTAAATGGTAACTTTTAAATAATTTATTTTTTATTTCTCTTAAATAATTTACTGATTTAAAAAAAATGTAAAGTAAAACTAAAACCAAATCTAAAAACTAAAATCCAAAACCAAAAACTGAAAAAAACATGTTATATTTTTTTGCTTTTATTTATTTACAAAATAAACTATTGCAAATTTCTTTAAAAAAAATTTTTGTCAGCTTTTCAGTTTTAAATTAGATGTTCGATTATTTGGGATTTGTTTGTTAGTAATATCAGTTCAAACTAACTCAGCGGGTCTAAAAATTAAAAACCAAACCAAAAGCTGAAAATCAAAAATAGAAACTTAAAAAATAAAAACCAAAATCTAACACAAAATCTAAAAATAAAAACTAAAACTAAAAACTAATGAATAACAATCATCACCATAAATTTTGGTGAACTGATTTTATCCCAAAACATTCTTTAAATTAAGATAAAACCCAATTACATAAATTTTTAATCATAAACAAATTTTATCCCAAAACATTCTTTAAATTAAGATAAAAACAAATTTATGTAATCAATTACATAAATTTTTAATCATAAACAAATTTTATCCCAAAACATTCTTTAAATTAAGATAAAAACAAATTTTTAAGTAGGCTAAAAACAAATTTTATCCCAAAACAAATTTTGGTGAACTGATTTTATCCCAAAACATTCTTTAAATTAAGATAAAACCCAATTACATAAATTTTTAATCATAAAAAATTTTCGCGCTTTCAAGCGCGGGTCACTTGAAGTAGGCTAAAAACATATTCCACGAGGAAAGATTAATTATGTAGATATCCTAGTGATTTTTGTTAATATATATATGTTGAATATTGTTAAAAGAAAGTCTGAATGCCTTGTATTTACCATAAAGCACGAAAGCAAGGGAGTTATTTTCCATGTACTCGTATACAAGTAGCAATTGATTCTTCTCGACACAACATCCATAAAGCTTGACAAGGTTTGGATGATTCAGACCTGAAATCATGCCTATCTCATTAACAAATTCACGATTTCCTTGGGTTGACATAGAAGAAAGCTGTTTGACTGCTATGATAGTTCCATTCGATAGCTCTCCCTGCATTAAGTTTCTTATATCAGCATGTTTTGTTCAACTGCTTTTATATTATACAAATATGTTTGAGCACTTGGCATTGTATATAAAATACTTTGAATACGGATCCGAAACCCCCTTCTCCAAGTTTATTGGCATGGTCAAAATTGTTTGTTGCAGCTTGTAGTTGTCTCCATGTAAAACAAACCGTTTCTAAACCCTTGGCTATGGTGACCAGGTTCCCAAGGAAATTCATCAGTACTTCTATAAGCATATTAACAAGTAATGAAAGGATTCATTATACACTTTGTAAATGTTGATACCTCTTTCTTTTGTGGTTTTGTCTTCTATGTATCTTTTTCGAGCTGCATATATACCCAAAGTCAAGAGAAAAATTGTTACCAAACCACCTATTGCCCCCGGAATCATAAGATAATTAGTGTGATGTTTTGTTTTCTCTACTGCAAATGAAACAATGAAGATGTGAATATCATATGATTATTCATCAAGCTATATAAATGTGTTTTTAAGAGAGAAGTATGTTTCTATTTTTATTTGGACCTCCACATCGTCGCTCCTGGCCTGAAATTTTAAAAGATGACCATATATCATCACCAGGCAGCCAAAACTAGAATCAATAATCTTAAGTTTTCTTAAGAAAATGACAAGTGTTCTTACTGTGACACAATGAAATTGCGGAGATAAGAGGACCATAGTATCCTCTGTTGGGAATAAGGGTTGTCCCTTTACCTGCCCAATACAAGTGAATCTCTAACACGTGATTGGTCACATTAACATCTTTCAGTTCTTGCATTATAGGCTTCATAGTCCCATTAGCTTCCTCTATGATGTTAAAATCTCTCAAGAACAATTTTCCCTACTAATGCAAATAAACTTCAATCTTCCATTCAACTTATTTCAAGGACGATTTAAGAGAAAAAAATACGAAGTAGTGACGCTTCACCTGGACGTAGACATCAAATATGCGCCTACCTAGACTAGTGTATAGTTCTTCTGTAAACTGAATCTCCATGAAATGGAGGCTTATAGTGTAGGTTCCATTTTCTAAGCAAAATGCATAATAAACAAGAGAGAGAGCAGATCGACGTGCAGTCTTATAAAGATCAGAAGAATCTCCAGATAATGTTGAATTTTTTGAAATGATGTACGTGTCGTCATCGCTTCCATCATCGGTAAAGTCACCTGTGTTACTGACTCCCCAGTTTACCGAGTGTTGATTTGTTGAGGCCGTGGTCTCATAGTTATCAGCTTGATAATTTATTTTACCCAAAGAGTTTATTATATTCACACTTTCTCCACCACAATTTATATGTAATGATCGTTGATCTACAGTAAAAATGAGTATAACCTTTAGTAGATAAACAATACTGCAAAAGTTTGAAACATGATTTTCAAAAGAGCTATACTATATACAGTATAATTTTCTCTATAACACGAGTTTGTTAGATTGTACGTAGTTACGTACTTATATTTACATAACTATATATATCAACACCCTTTAACAAAAAAGTACATAATTATAATGCACAATATAGATAGTTTTTGGGTTGGAAGTCAGGTAACACTAAAAGTTATGAATATCCAACCGTAGCTATCCAATGTTAGAGATTAATTAACATGGCTTAATGGTTACTTACAGCCCGAGCACTTGATTGGACCAGCGCATGGAAGCATCCCACTTCTGTATGACAAGATAATCAAGGTATTAGGTATTTCATATAAGCACAAACATTCAAACCAGTTTTTATATATATATATATATATACAATATTCAAAAGCAAGACCACTATATATTAGCCATTTGT